ATCTTATCGTCCCAATGCTAACATAGCTGCCACCATGCCACCTAATGATTCATCCATACTTGGAGCACCACCTTCATCCAATCCCATGTTGACGGACTTAGCAGAGCAGTTTCAGAAATTCTTAGCCACACAACCACATGCTATGTCAGCCTCCACTCATATAGGTTTGTTATCACAGAATCACTCAGGTATTTCTTCCTCATGGATCTTTGACTCAGGTGCTTCCAAACACATGTCGTCTAATTCAAAACTCTTTAATGACTTGCGTCCTTCCAACCCATCTATGTCTGTTATGACTGCTGATGGTACACCATTACCTTTAGCAGAAGTCGTTTAAAATTTTTAGTTTCTAAGGGTCAATTGGAAAATATACAAACTCATGATATTTCTGATTGTAGTGGCTGCAAATTAGCAAAATTTTCTGCTTTACCTTTTCCTCGAAGTATTTCTCATTCTGTTGCACCATTTGATCTTGTTCATTCTGATGTGTGAGGACCTGCTCCAGTTACTACAAAAGGAGGGTCTCGATATTATTTGTCTTTTATTGATGATTATAGTCGTTATTGTTGGGTTTATCTTATGAAGCGACGATCTGACTTTCTTTCTATTTATCGATCATTTAGAGCACTTATTAAAATTCAACATTCAACTGTAATCAAATGCTTTAGATGTGACTTGGTTGGAGAGTATACTTCATCCGAATTCTCTAAATTGCTTACTCTTGACGGCACAATTCATCAAACCTCTTGTGCTAATACCCCACAACAAAATGGTATTGCTGAACGAAAGCATAGGCACATTGTGGAAACTGCTAGTTCACTTCTTTTATCTGCCAAAGTTCCCAATGAGTTTTGGGGAGAAGTAGCTCTTACTGCTGTTTCTTTAATTAATAAGATTCCATCTTCCCACAATTCAGGTTTATCACCTTTTGAAACATTGTATGGGCATCCTCCGGATTACTCCTCATTGAGAGTCTTTGGTTGTACTTGCTTTGTTCTTCGTCCTGAAGTTGAACGTAATAAGTTGACATCTCGGTCTGCTATTTGTGTTTTCTTGGGTTATGGGCAAGGGCAAAAGGGTTATCGTTGTTTCGATCCCATTAATAATAAATTATATGTCTCTTGTCATGTCGTGTTTCTTGAGCACATTCCATTCTTCTCCATTTCTGATATTACTCATAACGTAACCAAAACCGACCTCATTTATATTGATCCATTCTCTGATGATATAAACAATTCACCTTCCCATACCCATGTACTATTGATTCTTCATGTCATGCAGGTACACATGCTTCAGATCATGCTACCCTTCCTCCTTCTATGGCTTCCCAAGCACCGCCTGAGATTGTTGATCCAACTCCTGCTTCATCTCTTCCTCGTTATTCTTAACGTATTCGTAAGTCCACTCAATTACCTGATTTTGATTATTCTTGTTATTCTGAGTCCTTTTGCTATCTTCTAACATCCATTCATAAGTTAGTTGAACCATCTTCCTATAAAGAAGCTATTTTGGATCCTCTTTGGCAACAAGCTATGGCTGATGAACTTTCTGCTCTACATAAGACAGACACTTGGGACTTGGTTGAATTGCCTTCAGGTAAACATACTATCGGTTGTCGTTGGGTTTATAAGATTAAAACCAAATCTGATGGTTCGATTGAACGCTACAAAGCTAGATTGGTTGCTAAAGGTTTTAATCAACAGTATGGTTTGGATTATGAGGAGACTTTTGCTCCTGTTGCCAAGATGACCACTGTTCGTACACTTATTGCAGTTGCATCTGTTCGTCAGTGGAGTCTCTCTCAATTGGATGTTAAAAATGCCTTTTTAAATGGAAATCTTCAAGAGGAGGTTTATATGGTTCCTCCTCCTAGTCTTTCTCACACTCCTGGATTTGTTTGTAAACTCAAGAAGGCACTTTATGGCCTCAAACAAGCACCTCGTGCCTGGTTTGAAAAATTTTCCACTGTTAGCTCTCTTGGTTTTACATCCAGTCATCATGACTCCGCTTTATTCTTTAGATGCACTTCAGCTGGTCGCATTCTATTATTGCTATATGTTGACGATATGATTATTACTGGTGATGATGTTGATGGAATTGCAAGTTTGAAATCAGAATTGGCTTGTCGTTTTGAAATGAAGGACTTGGGCACACTGTCTTATTTTTTGGGGATCGAAGTTGCTTCTTCTCCTAGAGGTTATCTTATCTCTCAGTCCAAGTATACTATAGATGTCATTGAGCGTGCTCGTCTTACTGATAATAAATCTGCTGATACTCCTCTTGAGTCCAATGCAAGATATTCATCCTTTGATGGTGTCCCATTGACTGATCCCACTTTGTATCGCACTATTGTTGGATGTCTAGTTTATCTTACCATCACACGTCCTGATATTGCCTGTGCTGTTCATATTGTTAGTCAATTTGTTTCAGCTCCTACTACAGTTCATTGGGCAGCAGTTGTTCTTATTTTGCGTTATCTTCGTGGTACATGCTTTCAGAGTCTTTTGTTTCCATCAACCTCATCCTTAGTGCTCCGTGCCTACTCTAATGCTGATTGGGCCAGCGACCCCATTGATCGCAAGTCCACTACGGGTTTTTGTGTATTTTTGGGTGATTCACTTATCAATTGGAAAAGTAAGAAGCAGACTGTTGTTTCCCGCTCCTCTACAGAAGCAGAGTATCGAGCTATGGCATCCACCACCACTGAGATTGTGTGGTTGCGATGGTTACTTGCAGACATGGGTGTTTCTCATTCCTCCCCAACTCCCATGTATTGTGATAATACTAGTGACATTCAGATTTCTCACAACTCTGTGTTCCATGAACGCACAAAACATATTGAGATTGATTGTCATCTGGTTCGTCATCATCTACAGACTGGCACCATTTCCCTACCTTTTGTTTCTTCATCGTTGCAGCTTGCTGACTTCTTCACTAAGTCTCATCCGGTTCATCGTTTTCGCTTTTTACGTGACAAACTCTCGCTGCTTCTTGCTTTAGCATCTTGAGTTTGAGGGGGGGATGAAAACGTGTGTTATATTTAGTTAATTACTTATATTTAGTTATTTATTTTAGCATAATACGTAATTTCCTATTATTGTAAGTTTCCTATTATTTTTAGGTTTCCTTGTAGTAGTATAAAACCCGTTTTATACTTTCTTTGAAAACTCAATTGATGGCTTAATAGATTTTTGTTCCCTCTTTATTCTTCTTCTCTTTCTCTTCTCTTTTCTTCCTTTTGAATTGATTCAACATATTGGTTTGAGATTCATTATATTGTTATCAACTTTTTCATTGAGGGAAAGTGAGAAAGAAAGTATAAATCTTTGAATTATTGATCTCAGATGTAAAAACAATAATTCTTAACTAATCAAGACAAGAAGAATTGGTTGAATATGAATTTCGTCTATGGCTTTTCTATACACTAGTTCTTCTATAATAATCATTTTCGAATATGTTATAAAATTTGATTTGAAATAAGGATGTGTTCGATTGCGAGCATTTAATTTATATGGAAAGAAAATAAATTCTAGACAATTCAATTACTTAGAACTTATTTGTATGAATATTATTAATTTATCTGTGTTTAATTGATATAATTTTCAATCTAAAAAATATTACACTTGTCTATTTTTTATTGATAGGTAAATGAAAGCGAAATGATAGATAAGGCGGGGTGAATTAAGTGGAAAATAAAAATCAACCCTCCTAAATAAAATATTTTCCTTGTTTTTTAGGAAAATATGATCACGTGATTAGAAGTTGGAAAATATTTCTATGAAAAAATTGTCAATCAAACACCTAAAAAGTAGGAATTTCGGTGAAAAAATGACATTTTGTATAAAAAATAAAGTCAATCAAATACATTCGAATATTATATCATTTATACCTTAATATAAAATTGATCAATTTCAAATTCAATACACTTAAACCGACAAGGCGGCCATTGATTATTAGTCATAATAATATATAAAGATAGAAATTGCTTATCCAAATTCATTAGGATAGACAGAAAAGGAAATTGTGTGTACAGTGCTGTACACGTACATCATTGGGCACGTGATTATTTTAATCGTGGACTTCACCTCTTGTTTGTGAGAGGATTGTCAATTATAATGTCAAAATTGTTGTACTTATAGCATTGTTGGACTGAAAATGCCAATGCTATTTCATTCCAACTAGGATCTAAATAATTGCATACTGGACCCCCAAAAAAGTTTGCGTGCTATAGATTTCAGAAAATAATGGAGGAATAATACCTCAAACGCGGGCCATATGGAGGTTTGGACCACTTTAACTAATGTGAAGGCACGTGGTGCAAAATTGTCCACTCGTGCTATTGGGTTGGTAGTTGCTAGGACAACATCGCAGGCAATATCACGTAGGCCATTGCAAGTCCTTACCGGGGTACATCTCATTCATTCAAGATAAAGTTTAGCTTCTATTTCAATGTTCCATTTATTAAACGTGAATTAATCCCCAGACAATTGATTTGCAGGGGCTTGCCAAATATTTTACTGTAGCAGTAGGCCTCATATGTAACAAGAAAAAATAATAATAATAAATTGCAATGGGCCCCACCATGTGAGTACCCCGGGACTTGTTCCTGTACACCAAGCTTGGTTGATTAAACGTTTATAGATTTAGTCAAAATCAAACGTTCATTTCAATTATACTGTCTTAATTGCTACATATTATTCACACATTTTATGAGATCAACAACTAATCTAATCAAACCGCTCTTTTGTGTTTGGCTAAGCTTAAAAGAAGCTTATGATATCACGGGACAAGAACCCAACATGGAACAAAAAATGATATGGATATCAATTAAATTGGGCGGGATATGATCCGTTTCACCCTCAATCACATCGATTAATTAATTACGGTCCTGCAAGTTGTTTGTGTTAGACATAGCCAACTACTTTTGGTCACAACAATTTGCTGCCAGAAAGCACTGTTTCTGTGCAAATAGCATCTCTCTCTCTGGTCATGTAATTAAAACTTAAGTTTACAACTACTCATACGGTTTAGTTAATTGACATTTTATTTATTTTATTTTATTTTATAAATTTGTGACCCAGCTTTTTGTTTTGTAACGCACTACTTAATCAAGCCATAAAAGAATATCCTGCTTAGCTCCAAATGGCCATCTTTGAGGTACTTTTGATGTTTTTATGCATAATTTTTCTTTATATCTTGAGATGCAGAAGTTTGAACAAAAGCTTAGCGCCAACACATTTTCCATTGGTCGGAATGCTGCCGGCGATTCTTCAAAATGCTCACCAGCTACATGATTACGCCACGGTCGTCCTCAACGAATGCGGCGGCACATACGAGTTCAAAGGGCCCTGGTTTGCTAACATGAACATTTTGGCCACTTGTGATCCTGCCAATATCCACCATATTATGAGCAAAAATTTCTTAAACTACCCCAAAGGTCCAGAATTCAAGAAAATATTTGATATTCTGGGAGATGGGATTTTCAATTCTGATTCTGAATTATGGGAACTTCATAGAAAAACGACTATGTCCCTAATGAATCATGCAAAATTTCATCAGGTCTTAGAAAAGAACATTTGGGACAAGATTGAAAACGGCCTCCTTCCTGTTCTTGATCATTTCATTAGAAAAGGAAATGAGATTAATTTGCAGGAAATTTTTCAAAGATTTGCTTTCGATAGTTCATGTAAATTGGTTCTGGATTATGATCCATGCAGTTTGTCCATTGATTTACCCTATATTCCATGTGAAAAAGCTTTTGATGATGCAGCAAAAGCCCTTTTGCATAGACATATTTTGCCAGAAAGCTTGTGGAAGCTCGAAAAATGGCTGGGAATTGCTACAGAAAAGAAGCTGGCTAAAGCTTGGGAGGCTTTTGATAAATTTATATATCCGTGCATTCCATTAAAGGAGGAACAGAGCAATGGCACCAAAGTGCATGATGAAGATTTTAGCTTGTTAACTGGATTTTTAAAAGCATACAAGGGAAAGAGCGGTGCTTCTTGTGATGAAAGAGAGTTCATGAGAGACACCTTGTTGAGTTTGATCTTTGCAGGTAATCTACTAATCTATCTATAATATATAATTATTATATTAAAATATCGTATCGAATCATTTTTTGGACGATTTTAACCGTCTATAAATAATACCTTTCTTTTCGTTTTTCGATATGTAATAAATACTATATAATTATTGTCATTTGTGAAATTTGTGTTATTAATTCTCAATTAATTAACATTTACATTAATTTAGATTCAATGAAATTTCAATTGATTAATCTTTAATTATATGAATCCAGAGTTATTATAGATGAATTTATTTATATTCATGTATCGAGAAATTTTAATGGGTGTTTAAATTTATGTAGTAACAATTAATTTTTACGTATCAAATATAATATAAAATTATTGCTCATTTATAGTATTTCATCATTATAGAAAAATTGAATTATAGAATTTGAGTTTTGAGAGTACAGTTTTCTTCTTTTAAATTTCTACGTTAAATTTTATTTCTTTAATTCGTCTGAGACTAATCAAATCCTTCAACAAATTGGTACCAAATATTACTTTTACATCACTTGTAAAGTATTTTAAAAAAACATGCAATGCACATTCAACTTTGACTGCTTTTATAAATGTGCAAAGTTGAATATTTTGAATCTTTACATGTTACGATATCACATTGAACTATTTTATCTAAAAACATAAACTGATATAGAGAGTGCACATTTTTATTTATTGCATCTCCTTTTCAATTTTCTATTACAACTCTTGACACTTTTTACAATTATTTTGTCTTAAAACACCTCCTATAGGTAATGTTTAGCATATGCTTGGGTTAGTTAAAAATCAGATCTTTAGTAAATTTTGATAAAAGTTAATAAAATGTATAGATGAAAAGTTGTGAGTCTAATAAAATGTATGACTGAAAATGAGTTTGAACAAAATTGAGGACTAAACATGGGAATATTTATTTTTATGAGAACATATGACAGTTTACAATTTCTAGAAAGAGGTGACAATGAAATGATATTCAATCTAAAAGCTTAAATATTGAGGAGTACAAATTTACTTATTGAAGTTTTGTCAATGACAGGTAGGGACACCACAAGTACTACTCTAACATGGTTTTTCTGGCTAATTGCCTCAAATCCCCTTGTGGAACTCAAGATACTTGAAGAGATTCAAACAAACTTTCATGACACAGAAGACAAAACATGCAGGTTTTTTAATGCAGAAAAATCTAGAAAATTAGTCTACCTCCACGGAGCATTCTGCGAGACTCTTAGGCTGTTCCCTCCTGTGGCACTGGAACACAAATCACCGGTTCGACCGGACATCCTTCCAAGTGGCCACTGTATCCCTCAAAATACTAAAATAATTTTGTTCTTTTATTCAATGGGAAGGATGGAGAAAATATGGGGCAAAGATTGTTTAGAGTTCAAGCCAGAGAGGTGGATTTCCGAGCACGGTAGAATAAAGCATGAACCGTCGTTCAAGTTCCCTGCGTTCAATGCCGGACCAAGAACCTGCATTGGTAAGGAGATGTCTTTTGTGTTAATGAAAATAGTGGCAGCAACTATGATATATAATTACCATGTCCAACTGGTGGAAGGTCAATCAGTTTCTCCTTGTGATTCTGTCATAATTCAAATGAAACATGGTTTAAAGGTCAAGTTATCCAAAAGACATGCCTGATACCAGTACACCAGAACAATAAGAATATGTAGATGCTGAATGCTTTGGAAGAAGGGCACTAAAAAATATTGATATTTTACCTGAATGTTATTATATAATGTGAAAACTAAAGTTCAACTTCCGTGTTAAAGTTTGTTACATGTAACATACTTTGAATTAAGTTTGTGTTTGAGCCACATTATTTTGAAAGAATGTATTTTGGAATAATAGATTGATGTAGAATGTATGGTTAAAAAATAAAGGAAAAGTTTTGAATTTGTTTGATAGTGATGTAACAATACAAGTGCTCAATTATATGTATATTAGTGTCCCCCGACAGAGACATGTCAATTTTAGCATGGATTTCAGTGATAAAATAAGATAAGTAGAGCAATATTTGGCTAGAACTGTGCAAAATTGAGGACCAAAAACCCCACGGAGGATTTTCTTAATCCTATGTATTAAGTTATTGATAGTTTCTTGATATAGCGCCCTTGTTTGAGCCCCATTTTGGAGGAGAGAATGAATTTTTGAATGGTGTATTGATACAAAATGTGTGGTTAAAAAATAATGATTAGTTTTGAATTTACGTGTAAAATTATTTTATTGAAAAATGTGTGATTAAAATGATGCTAAAATATTGCTGAAAAATGTATTTTTTCAAAAGAATGAGGCCCAAACAATGGCATAATTGAAGCAATTATAAGATTTTTGGTTGGGTCAACCTCAAATATGGATGTAGTAGTCAAAAAAGTATAATCCATTGCATCAATTTTTCTCTGACAATCAAATTAGAATCATTGATTACTAGAACATTTTAATTCTATATATGATATATCCAGTGTAAATGAGATGCAAACAATGAAAAAACTACTGAAATTGTATAAATGTTTCATGTTATAGAAAGACAAACAAATGTAAAAGTAAAGATCCTATAATATTACAAACATACTAATAAGAAAATAACATCACATTATCACTACAATAGGGAAATTATCACAATACCATGAAAATTGAAAATATTTAACCACCACCATAAAATTTTAATTCTAAAGGAATGCTTATTTATGTTCAACCAGAATATACTGCTACACTATTAAATTTCACCTGCCGTCGCCAATAATCTCCTGAAGAATGGGTTTTGAATCAATGATAGGTGAATAAGATGGATCCGTGATTGCCCTGCTTGTTACGTTTGATGGATTGCCCTGACTAACATCAGTTCTTGAAGTTGAACTCTCTGTGTTCGACATAAAGGTTGTTACATCCCTAAATTTCCAATCAGTTAGGTATCCAGGCTTTGAAGTGACTGGGGGCACCTCAATGTCTCCAGAAAGCATTGACACCACACGTGACATTGAAGGCCGCAAACCAGGTGATGTTTGACTGCACAGAAGAGCGACTCCTATAATTCTTTTTACTTCGTCCTCATTCGCTTCAGATAATGTTCTGTCAACAAGTTTCACTTCTTGGTTTTCCTCATGAAGATTCCAAGCCTGCAAGCATATCATATTGAAATTAGTAACCACCAAGTCAAAGATGGTGGAAAACATAGAATGACATTTGAAAGTTCAACTACAGAGGCGTGCAAAATTAGGTTTTGCATGCACAAAGAAAATAGAATTTTTTTTCTAATCCCGTCGCCTCTCACTCGATCCATTAGCCAAGAAGAAAGGCGGTTAAAATGAAAGAAGATGAGTTCTTTTATCACCTAGGACCTGTCCAAGATGTGAGTTCCTTTCCTAAGAATTTGGAAGGGGAAAGGGGACCTTCCCAAATATTACATTGGGTTGTAAAGAACTTACTTCTTTATGTTTAATCTTGTGCCAAAGAGAATATGAGAGCTTTTTTAAGTCGCATCTTTCTCTCTGTCCTTGGTATAGCTTCGTCATTCCATTCCCAGATAGTGAACTAAGGGAGAAAATTAGAGGATGAGCCTCAGAAGGCTGAATCTCAGCGATGAGCCTCTTGTATCTAGCCTATCTCTAATCCCTTCAATCTTTTGATTTCTCCATACAAAGAAAATTGTACAATTTTCTTATTTTCCACCAAGAGGGAATTACACAACGTTGATACAAGTGGGAAAAAAAGGAGTAAAAAGGAAGAAATAAATCACCTAAATGAACAAGTGTAAAACAAGCATATTCATCAGAAAGAATTTTAACATTATGTAATTAGTAATTACTTTCTCAACACTCAACCACGCTAGTGCACCTCTCATCTAGGCTTAGTTTCCATGACTATAATTTTTAAATGGTTAATACTCCAAGAGATGTTCATTTTTCTCGGATTCCAAACAAAAGGAAATTTCCGTACCAGATATCTACCACAACCAAATGAAGCTGAAAAGTTGACAATGAATCAAACTGTAATATAAGTGAAACTCCTACTATTTTGTCATTGCTGCCAGAATTAAAACTGCAAATAAAAGTAGAAAACTGATATTTTGGAAATTTTGTCCATAACTTCAAGTGTGGATTGAAATGTTGGTAAAATTTGTAAACTAGAATACAATGTCCTTTTGCTAAGTTAATCACAACAATAATAAATAAATAAATAAATAAAAATAAAAATAAA